TGTCTTGAACAGGAGGCATGCTGACCAGCACCTGGTGACTAAGGGGTTAACTCAGGTACCTCGCAGAGGTGATGGGCAGGGGGCCGGGAGAACCAATAGAGAGAGAGGGTTGAAATTTGAATTGGATATTGGTCTCCGTGCCTGCTCTCTTTGTGTGGGAGAGTTGAACCAGGAGTTGAGACACAGACTGATTTCAACCCAGGCAGGACTGCCATGCCCCCCATGGAATTCAGGGCTTAGGCACAGACTGAACAAAGAGAAAATTAGAAGTGAGTACAAGGGAAATGTGAGTCCAGTCGCGTTCAGGGTAATTTGTCTTTATTTTGTGGTTTGGTTAGAACTGCTTGGTGTGCATCTCTGCCTCCCCTCCCCATTTCCTACCATCTAAGCTTTGTGCCGAGACTTCTCTCTGGTTTTTTTTATTTGTTTTCCTTAGTTGCTCTGTACATCTAGCAACCAAGTCTGCTTTCTCCAGTTTATCTTTTGTTTTGTCATAGAAATCACTTCTTTTAAGGGGATGCTTGACTCTTGTGTCCTGAGAGATGTCAGTCGGTGCGGGTCCACAGGCCTCTGACTGAGGGGTCAGTACCAGAGACTGCAGCTTGTTTTTCTCTTTTCTTTTTCAAGCTCTTTGGGGGCAAAAGAGCTTGGGGTACCCCAGGGGGTGGCTTCTAGTATTCACCCCTGATTTTTTAGGGATCAAAAAACACTTGAAGGTGGCAGCGGATTCCCCAATAATCTGTGTACAGGCAGTCCCCGGGTTACGTACAAGATAGGGACTGTAGGTTTGTTCTTAAGTTGAATTTGTATGTAAGTCGGAACTGGTACATATTGTAGGGGAAACTCTAGCCAAACATTTCTCCAGAGCTCAGTTTTATTCTCCCACACCTCACTTCCCTCAGTCCTTTATTCTCAAGCTGAGGTGTCTGCTGAGAAAAGCCGCTCCACGTCTCCCTGGTCTGCTGGGAGGGGTGCTAGCTTTGCGTCTCCCTGGTCTGCCGGGGGGAAGCAGCTAGTGCGGGGTTGCCTCACCCCGTTTGTAAGTAGGGATCTGATGTAAGTCGGATCCATGTAACCCGGGGACTGCCTGTATTGGGATTCGGGGGGAAGGGGGCGGGGTTGGGGCAGTTTTTGTAACCAGTGCCTGTTGAGGCGAGATTTGGAGCTTTCTTGCGGGGCCCCCACCTTCTGCATTTGGAGTGGTGGAATGAGGAACAGCCCTGACAGTCCCTAAGTGTTTATTAGAAATCCTGTTTTGAGGCATCTAACAGCACTGTATGTATTCTTTCATGGTTTGAATTGGGCATGTAACTGCAAGGGAGCGATTTCTGTTTGTGCTTGTTCCTATTGGGCAAGAGGAATCAGTCTGTTTTAAATGTATCTGGAAATTATACACATTTTAAAAAGTTAAGGCTCATTAACCTTTGGTAACTAACCCGTTTGCCATAGGATGCGGTGGATTCTCTGTCATCGGAAGTGTTTACACCAGAGTTGGCTGTTTCTAGGAGGTATTCTCTAGCTCTGTCAGAAGCTATTGGATTTGATGCAGGGATTGCTGGGTGGAATTGGATGGCTTGTGTTCTGGAAGAGGGCAGATCAAATGATTACGCCGAGCTCCTCTGACCATGACATCTGAGAGTCGTGAGGACATTCAGAGTTTAGAACCAGAATCCGTTCCAAGGGCTTTCAGAGAAGTGGCTGCTGCCACCTGTCTCATTTTGTGTATTTCTTATGCCCAAAATGCTGAAATTGGAATCTGACGCCTTTTCCCAGCATTGGTTGGGGCCTTAATTCAACAACTTGTTTTCATTTCAGTTGTTGCTCTGGGGTTGGGCTGGTGATGTGTGGGGAGGGAGTTCAGCCTGCAGGCTGCCCGGGGAGAGAGGACTACCACCCCAGGCGTGTCTCACTGCAGCAGCATGGAGCCAGGTGAGAGGCACCTCTCCATGGCCACTGCAGCTCCAGTGGGCACAGACCAGCTGGAGCAAATCCAGGTTCATCTGCTCCCTGCACTCCCCAGCCAAGAGAGGAATGGAGTGAACTGGGCACTTTTCCCTTGCTCCCTGATGAAGGGGAGTAGCCAGCAATGGTCCTGTATGAATTGGGGGGGGGGTTTGGGGGGGCGTCCCAGAGGAGAGGGGCTGCGCACCTCCCAGCCGGCCCCTTTTACCTGCCTGGTGACTGTCTCTTTTCTGTATGGTTTTCTGCGCAGCAGCCCCATCCCAAACACAGCCCATTTTCCTGGCACAACCAAACCCTCACCTTGTTTTAAGTTATGATCAGAGGAAGCTGCCTAGCAAATGTGTTGGACCTAGCTCTTTACTGTGAGGGAAGAGTTCTTGGCTAAACAAAGTCTCTCAGATCTACAGTAGAAGAAATACTGCTCAGTACTTCATCAGCGTAGGCACTGGGGGTAAGGGTGAAACTATACTATTGAATGATAGCCAACGGAGATAAACTTAACAACAGGTAGTCTGTTAGCACTTTAAAGACTAACAGAACACATAGGTGGTATCATGAGCTTTCCTGGGCACAGCCATCATGGCTCATGATCCCATCTACATGTTTTGTTAGTCTTTAAAGTGCTACCCGGCTACCTGTTGTTTTTTAAGTTTATCCTGTACAGACGACTCGGCTACCTCCTGAAGCTAGAGACCGGAGAGTTTGGTTACAGTGAGATTGTATGCGCTACTATTTTGTAATCTGTGAAGTTGAATCTTGTGCATCCCGGACAAGGAAGAGGGTGCAGGAGCCAGGATGCAGAAAGTGGGACTCGCATACGAACGAACGTAAGAGCGGCCATACTGAGACCAGTTGTCCATCTAGCCCAGTACCCTGTCTTCCCACAGTGGCCAGGGCCAGGTGCTTCAGAGGGAATAAAGAGAGCAAGGCCATCACCCCCTTCCCTCCCGCTTTCATTCCCAGCTTCTGGCAGCCAGAGGCTAGGGATCCCTGAAACGTGGGGGTATAGCCCCTGACTGTCTTGGCTAATAGCCATTAACGTCCCTATCCTCTATGGCCTTACCAAATTCCTTTTGGAACCCCGCTTTCGTGTTGGCCTTCACAGCATCCCTGGCAACAAAACCCCCAGGATGGCTGTGCCTTGTGGAAAGAAGGGCTCCCTCTTTTTTGTTTTAAACCTGCTACTTACAAATTTCACTCAGTGACACCTGCGCTGTGCGTTGTGAGGGTGTAAATAACACTTCCTCTTTGCTTTCTCCACACCACTGATGGCTTTATCAGTGTCTGTCGTGTCACCCTCATCCCATGCTGCTTTTCCAAGCTCAGTTGTCCCAATCTTTTTAATCTCTCCTCGCAGGTCTGATGATGAATACCCAAGGCGGGAAGGACAGAACCAGGTGGACAGCTTTATCAAATAACAATTATTTATTTATGACAGTGGTGAATTTATAGTATTTATTCTAAGATTTTTAATAGACCGTGTTAATAATGAATTTACAGTATTTATTATATTTATTCTATGGTTTCTAGTAAAACATGTCAGAGATATAGGGATGGGAATGGCAAGGGGAATAGTCTCTAATCTTAAAATATCCAGCTACAGTAATAAAATAACAGTGATCACTACAAACTCTTATGTACTACCCACAAACAACTACAACACTAAGCTTATACAACAAGAAAAAATCAAATCATACATACCTACTTACTCAGCATATGGAACATTTCACCGATATCGGTTCGGTTGCGAAGGCCTTGGTTACGCCTGAGAGTCGGGGGAGGTGGCTAGTCGGTTGATCAGGCCGGCAGCGCTTTGAAGTATACGAGAAGGCACATGCACGGTGGTACGTGTGTTGCGAAGACCTCCTAGAGCAAACTGTGCCATGGGTATTTATCCCCAAATCTGCACATCGCTTTCCCGCGCTTGCATATTACCATATATGGCCCAATGGTCACCAAGTGGGGGGTCTGTGTCCCAGGGGTTGGGCCGAAACTGTGCAGGTTTCATGCGACCAGGTAAGCCCCGCAGTTCTCACGCCAAGGTGACGGGTGGGAGAGTCTGAGGCTATTTTCCCCTTTTCACACCTTTCCTTTTTCTAAAGGCAATGGTATGCAGGAAGGGTGCGGCCGGTTTCTCTCAAGGAGTACTGCAGCACAAGAGCGGCCTGGCCAAACATTTTTACTAGGGGGGGCAGTTTCTTTTCTCTAACAGAAGCCGCTTCGTACCCCTAATCATTTCTGTTGCCCTTCTTTGTATCTTCTCCAATTCTAATATTTCTTTTTTGGGGGGCTGAGATGACCGGAACTGCATGCAGCATCTGAGCTGTGGGTGTGCCATGGATTTCGGCGGTGGTGGTGTTATATTTTCTGTTGTCTTATCTGTCCTTTTCCGAATAGTCCCTAACATTCTGCTTGCTTTTTGGCCTGCTGCTGCGCATTGAGTGGATGTTTTCAGAAAACTCTCCACAGGGACTCCAAGATCTCTCTTGAGTGGTAACAGCTCATTTAGATCCCCTCATTTTGTGCGTATAGTTGGGATTATGTTTTCCGATGTACGTTACTTTGCATTCATCAACATTGAATTTCATCTGCCCTTTTGCTGCCTAGGAGCCCAGTTTTGTGAGATCCCTGTGTAACTCTTTGCAGTCTGCTTTGAATGGAACTCTCCGGAGTAAATTTGTGTCTGCAAATTTTGCCACTTCAAATCTTCACTCCTTTTTCCAGATAATTTAGGACTGTGCTGAACAGCACATTAGACCCCCTGTGGAACACTAGTATTTGCCTCTCTCCATTGTGAAAACTGCCCATTTCTTCCCTCCCTTTCCCGTGATTGTTGACCATGCTCTGTACGTTTTATCTCGGCAACTACTTCTAGACAAAAGCGTTGACACTATTTAGTCATTTTTTTAGAAATGAAGTGGAATCGGCTAAATGTCTTTTGCTTAATGGCAAAGCCAATTGCCGTGAAGCAATATTTTGCCTCCATGGAAGAATTTTGCCTTGGTGAAATAATTTTACCCCTTTCTTCTTGCCCGCAGGTATTGGGAAGAATGTGATCTGTGAGAAATCTGCTACCTCGGTGGATGCCTTCAGGATGGTCACTGCTGCCAGATATTATCCCAAGCTGATGAGCATCGTTGGCAATGGCCTCCGTTTCTTGCCTGCCTTTGTGAAAATGAAGCAGTTAATAGAAGAACACTACGTCGGCACTGTGATGATCTGCGATGTGCGAGTGTTCTGGGGGAGCCTGCTCCACCACAAGTACAACTGGAGCTGTGACGAGCTCATGGGAGGAGGGGGCCTGCACACAATGGGCACCTACATTGTAGACCTCTTAACGCATCTCACCGGCCAGAAGGCAGAGAAGGTCCATGGCTTGCTTAAGACTTTTGTGAAGCAGAACGCGGCAATCAGCGGAATCCGCCATGTCACCAGTGACGACTTCTGCTTTTTTCAGATGCTCATGACCGGCGGTGTCTGTAGCACGGTGACTCTCAACTTTAACATGCCTGGATCGTTTGTTCACGAAGTCATGATTGTCGGGTCCACAGGTCGCCTGATCGCTCGTGGTACAGACTTGTATGGGCAGAAGAACACAGCACCCCAAGAGGAACTACTGCTCGCAGATCCCCTGACCATCAACACAGGCCTTCTGGACAAGGGGTTTCAGGAGATCCCCTTGCTGTACCTGAAAGGAATGGTGTACATGGTGCAAGCATTGCGCCTGTCTTTCCAAGACCAGGAAGACAGTCGGACATGGGATCACAAGCCAGTCTCCATGGCAGCCTCCTTTGAGGACGGCCTCTATATGCAAAGTGTAGTCGATGCCATTAAGAAATCCAACCGGTCTGGGGAGTGGGAAACGGTGGAAGTAATGACTGAGGGACCAGATGCCAACCAAAACCTATGTGAGGCGCTTCAGAGAAATAACCTGTAAATGTGAACATTCCTGGTGTTTGTTATAGGGGAAAAGAAAATTGAAAATGTCCGGACATAGCTAGAGAAGTTTCTTGGTTTGTAGGTTCTTATTTAATACTTTTTTGGGAGGGAGAGGGCTGTTGTGTGTTTTGTTTTGGGGTGTGTTTGGGTTTTTTTTTTTTTTTTTAAAGCATCAGCGTCTGATGAAACTGTTCCTTCCTGGGTAGAGCGTTCTGTTTTTAAACTCATTTAGAGAGTTTTAAATGTTTCTGGGGTTTTGTAGTTGGGTTTTTAAAGCTGAATTTCTGCTTTGCAGATTGTTAGGAAAACTTGAATTGCCCTTTGCACTTGCAGTAGCTAAAGCCAAGTGAGGGATCTTTTTGCCATTGGATTGTGGGGAGACAGGACACAGTCTCTTGCACAGAGTTCAAGTTTATTTTTACAATTTTAATCTGAGAGCAAGTAGACCAGGATCAGGGAGCATGTACAGCTCAGCTGTTCTTGCACTTCTTGCTAACAGGACTCTCACCAACACATTTTTTAGGTTTAGTCTTCAGCTTGTAAAACTTTATTAAAGAAAAGTGTAATAATATGGCCCATCTCTAGACTCGAGTACGAAGAAGAATGGAGGGGACAGGACAAAAGTCTGTAAGATACAGATCAGGCGTAGTGTTCTGCATGTAGTGCGTATGCTAAATGTTTCACATTAGTTTAAATTGGTTTCTAATTACCCCCTGGGTTCTCCATTGATATTATTGACAGAAGTGTTTGCAGCTATCATTGGACAAGTTGGAACGCTGAGTATTTCAGCTGTTTAGTCTGGGTGCCTCTGTAGCAAATATTTAGGCGACTAATACCTCACAGCAACTTTTTTCCCACAACTTCCCACCCCCAGCCTAATTGTGAATTGTGTTCACTGCCTGTCCACCAAATCCACATCAGTGTTTCCAGTCCTACCTGATGAGTAAAGCCCCCAGTAGCTCCCCAGTTGTGCATCTGGATTTGTTAATGTCCCTGTTTGTTTGATGATGAGACTGGAAGACATTTAAGCCTTCTAGGCACTTGAACTTGGATGAAAAAGTAGGAAATATCCCATTACCATACACTCTTCCATACTGACAAAGGTATCACACGTGCTCTGCTAGCTAAAGAAAACGGTGAGTGAATCCTTAGGCAGTGACAGCCTTTGGTTTGGCTAAATCATGAACACTGGATAATGTTACCCTGCTACAGAAACACATCTTATAATTTTATACTCAGTGGGGATAATTTGTGCTGCTGGTGGATCTTGAATGAATTTCCATTCCACCCCAGAAGTATGTTCGTTAGGTTGTCATTGAGGAAGAGAGATTTTTTTTTTATTGAATTTATCTTGTTTACTTGAATGTTTTAATGTTTCCCCACTAGGTTTTATTCCTGCATATTTATACAAAGCATTAACATGCAAACGTTACCTTTTCATAAAATGGTCCTTTCTGAAAATTGTCTCGTTTTCTACAAAAATAAACATTTACGTTGACGGAGGACAGACTTTCACGGAACTGATTATTTTTTAGAGCAAGTGAAAGGTCCCCTAACCAAGGTCAGCCGGAGATCATTGTTGTGTTACTGACACACATGTGTTTCAGGGCAGTGAAAAATACGCCACTCTAGTACCCACTGATTGTGACTGTCCACGGAGATTGGGCAAGTCGCTGCCTGTGCTTTGTTCCCACGTGAGAATAGGCTGTGAAAAGGGAGAAGGTTGCCCCTTGCCCCTTTTACTATTTCTAACCCTCAGACTGTTCTGTGTCAAGTTCGTGGGTGGATGAGAGTTAGAGAAATTCGACTCCCACCCTACCTCCCCTTCGTCGGAACTGAGGTGAGGCAGCGTCGGCAGGGGTACTTATGACCCCCCATGGTGGCGCCACTCCAGGGGGCGCCCTGCCGGCACTACGGGTACCGCTAGGGAAAACGCTCCGGAAGACGCGGTGCACACACCTAATTCGAATGGACATGAGCAACACATCTCGAAGAACAACAGTTACAGGTAAGTAACCGTTCTTTTTCCGGCCTCTCCCTCATTCCTGCATGGGGGTGTGGCCTGTTTTCATTTGCCGTTTCATACAGGCCACAAAGCCTGAGATGGTCTGGCTTAGGGATGTTAAATGGCATTTAATCAGCTAATCGATTAGTCAATTAGCTGATAAGAGAGGGAAACTGCAGAGCTCCAGCGGGGTTAGCTCACAGCCCCAGGAGCTAACCCCGCTGCGGCTCTGCCTTTTAAATATATTAAGAGCCACTAGGCTCTTAATACATTTAAAAGGCTAAAGCGCTGTGGAGGGGGACCCAGTCCCTGCTACACCTCTGCCTCCTTGAACCCCCCCCACTCCTGCTGCAGAGATGGTGCTGGGGGGAACCGGCTTTTAAGCCAGCTCCCCCCAGCACTGGCTCCTGCTTCCCTCTCCCCCTTGCTGCTTCTTTCTGATAGAGGCAGCAAGGGGCAGGGAGCGACTAGTTGAGTCATTAGTTGACTGTTCAATAAACATTTGCTTATAGTTGACTAGTCGCTGACATCCCTAGTCTGGCTGTTCCTGGTCTACGTCCTATACCGTTCCCTGGGATTGATGGGTTCTCTGCTTTGATGGGGAAAGCTTTTGGGGCAGGAATTCCTGAGAAGCAAAATCCCCATGTTCCTAATTCGAAGTGAATACTTCGGTTTATCAGTGTAAATTTTCGGCAGGGACAGCTCTGGCATAGTGTCCTTTTACTGCTGCTCTGCACTACTGACCACGGCCAACATCACTTGCCTGTCACTGGGACTCTTGCTACAGGGTCTTTATCTCCTTTCTAGACCCTTCCTGTGTGGTACTGAGTCCCCAGCAGGCCTGTTCCTTACCCAGAAAAGCCCTGCTGCAGTGCAAGGCAGAGCTAAGGGCTGTCTCCATAGCACGTGGCTGTACGCAGCCTGTAGCATTGTCCCCGTGAGACGCTAACTAGGCAGCAGTCTGGTGCACTGTAGATCCGCACACTGTGGCTTGCTCTGCTGGAACTTGCATTGTAGCCAAATCTCTAGTTTTGGGAACTAGCCTGACTTTATCAATATAGGCTTGTTTTTCTCTCCACACTGAACCCTCTCCCCCTTGGGAATGTCTGGGGCTTTGTTTTTTCTAGGATTAAGACAGAAGTGACTTAGACATACTAAAAATAATTCAATACCAGACTCCATTTATATAGCCAGAGAAATCACAAGGAAATTGGAAAACAGCCAAGGTTGAGTCTTCAGGGAAGTGTGTTTTCATTTAGGGAGAAACTTCATTCTAACTAGGTGACACAGTGGAAGCGGAGAAGGCCATTGGCTGTTTCACCTTGTTCTGGACTGGGTACGATGCTGATCTTTTCTCCTCGGAGTCCTCAGTTTATTTAAAAGGAGCTTTGTTATGTAAGTAAACCATATTGGCAGCTGTATCCTTGACCATGCTCCTTCATTGTCTAATTCTTTCCATTTGTGTGTGGATAAGTGTATGTGCACCAAGGCATGTGCAGATGTGCACCACCAATAGAAACACACGCTATTGGGCTGTGGGCGCTCTGCTAATCAGCTGGGCAACATTTGAATCTCTCGTGGGTGGCTGCCTGCCTAACCACTCAGCTCTCAGGCCATGGTGAGGGGAGAGGAGAGATTAATATCTGTGCTTTTAGTTTGTTTCTCAACATAATTTTAACAGTCAATATTTGGGTACAAAAGAAATCCCGTATGTTGCAGGGGAGTAGGAAAACTCAATGGTGTCATTGTTTCCAAGAAAGCATGACATTCTCTGAGGGGAAATATATTAAAAAACAGCAAGGCTCTGATGAAGTGGTTTTTCCCCCCACAGAATCTGATGCCCAAATAAATCTGTTCGTCTTTAAGGTGCCACAGGACTCCTCGTTAGTCTGTATCTGCACAAACCGGCGTATCCCTCTGGGTATGTCTGCACTACAGAGAACAGAGGGGGTTTTCTGGCACTGGTAATCTTCATTCTATGGAGAAGAAGCCTTTATGCAATAGAGCTCTTTCACAAAAAGGCGTGTGTAGACAGGGTAGAGGGAGTTCTTTTGGAAGAAGAGGAAAAAGCACAGGTGCCTCGGCGGAGGCCAGTCCATTCATAGCAATCACAGCTTACATGCGAAAGAGCGTCCGTTCAGTCTAGATGCTCTTTTGAAAAAGCAGATCACTTTTGCATCTGAAAAAAGCTTTTTCCGAAAGAAGCCTGTAGTTTAGATGTAGACTGAGACTTGTCAGGAAATATATTATGAGCAGGTACTGCCTAATATTAATTCCAAGTAAAGAAATAGTTAAAACAACTGGCCTCTTTAAATTACGGTTTTTGGACCGAGAGCTGACCCTGCCGGCCGTACCTTTGGCCCTGTATGGCGGGGCCGAGTACGAGGACTCCAGGGCTGTGGGAGCTGGTCTACAAAGCTGTATCACCTTTAAAACAATCAAGTTGTGAAGTTGTGCTGCTGGCTTGGGGTGTCTAGGCAAGTTTCATAACTCCACATCCAGTGTATTCAGCATATGTACCCAGCGCGGGGATTACAGAATGACTAGCGCCTCTGCCAAGTCCTGGGGATTGCTGTTACACAGTGACCCCCCTACTGGAAGGGAGGGAAAGCATGTCGACAGGGTTCAAAACAGGTTATTCCTTAGTGTTGGTCAGAGCCGGGCGAGATCCGGCCCGCCTACCACTTGGAGCCAGCCCCTGGACTGCATTTGGCCGCCTTCTATTTATATCTGGCTGCCGAATTTCCCAGCAGTGGCTCAGGCACCAGCATCCTATTTAAATGACTCCTGGCTTCCAGTCGTGGGGCTATCCCGGCAGGGATGGGAGCCAGGAGCCCTTTAAATAGCCATAGCAGCCCTGGGAAGGGGCTGCCAGGCACTGCGGTAGCAGAGGGGCTGGGAGCTGCAAGCCCTTTGCTGTGTTTTTAATTCAAAGCCTCTGGCCCCAGACAGCTCTGGGGAGAGGCTAGTCCTCAGCCCTGCTCCTTCTAGAGATGGAGCCGGTCCATGACCATGGGCCAAAATTCATTAAATGTGCCCCCCTGCCTCCTGTGAAAGTAATTACCCACCCCTCGTGGCAGTGCTTTGAAGTCATCCCGTTCAGAGGTTCGCCCGCCTGAGTTCGGCACCTTGTATCTGTGTTGACTTACAGGGGCATAAAATCAATAAAATACCAGTTGGGGGGGAGGGGGACTTGGGGTAATCGTCCAGTCCACTTCTGGAATTTCCGGTGCAGCTGCCGGAGCCACCTGTGCCCTGGAGTGAGGTGGCTGCAGCAGCCTTTTAAAGTCCTGCCCTTCTGTCCCCGGGGAAATTCAACAGGCAGCGCACGGCGGCTGCCACCAGTCTGGACAAATGGGCACAGTGCCCCTGAGCCGTCAGGTGGTAACCACTGTGCAGGCTGTATTCCCATCTCCAGTTCCTCCTCCTGGCGGGCAGGTGGGCTCCCTGGGTCTGGTCCCCTGGCCAGCCGTGCTCCTCTGGAGTAGCTCCCCATGGACCGTATTCCTGCACCCCCAGCGAGCGGCCCTATGGGAGTACAGCCCTCTGCTCCGGGTTCCCGCTGAGTCTCTGGCCTGCGCTCCCTCCACCAGCCTTGGCCTGCACACCTAGGACTTTCGCGCCCTGTGCTCCACAGCGACTGAGCCTTTGAGATCTGAGAAACGCTGCCCAGGAAAGCCGCCGCCTCCCTCGGCATGCGAGCCCTCAACCCCTCTGACCTCCAGCGCCCCTTCCCTGAAAGTCTCCTCCCCTGGCTGCATCCACATGATCTGAGTCAACAGGGCACCCTTGTAGCCAAGAAGGCTCATGTGACATATTAGGGGGCATTAGGAGGAACGTTGCCAGCCGATCTAGGGAAGTGATTATTCCCCTTTATTTGGACTCGACTCCTGAGGTCTCGTCCAGCCCTGGGATTCTGTGGCTCTATGAATCTAGGACAGGCTATTGGCGAGGGGCAGCTTTTGTGTCTGGGGGGGCTGGACTTCCCCGCACTGCTGATAGCTTATGCGGTGCCGGCCGAATCTGAACCCCAGTGACTTCTTCCACCCCCCCACGGACAGCCACTCGGAGTCTTTATTTGAGAAGTGGCAGAGGCACATGTTAAGCTGCCCCCGACTAAGGAGCAGGGCTGGGGTGATGCCGCGGCGTTCCAGCCGGTGGCTTTTCCCAGGGACACTCGGCTCCCTTGCGGTCGTCAGGCGGCCCCCCCCGGGGTCCCCGCAGGTCGGCCGGAGCCGGGAAGCGGGTGCGGTTATTTATACTGCGGGGAGAGCGGGGGCACCAGGTGAGCCGCGCAGACGCTCAGCATCTTGTCGATGTCGACCTGGGTTGACTTGTCGACTTCCGCCCGGGGCGGCGTTCTCGGGGTGCAGCTTTCGGGCTTCCTGTCTTTCGCTCCTGCCGGGAAGAGGCGAGAGGGGTGGGTCGCGGAGCTCCCCTCCTGGTGCAGAAACCAGTGGGTGGGGCGGGGAGGAGACTGCCAGCAGGCCCCCGTGGG